TATTTATACATAAATCAAATATTGCACCTTCCCTACTGTATTCATACACAAATCAATATTGCACTTTCCCTATTGCACCTATGCATAGTGTCCGTCAAATTGCACATATCTCTATCGTGTCCATACCTATTTACACATAATGCACTTCCCCTATTTAACCTTCTCGATTGCACAAACTACACTGTAAACATTGCACCTCCTAAAAACTCCTAACACAGCATAATCACAATTGTATTTGTGGAGTTAGTTGGTCCGCGAGTGTTTTTTTATTGGTTAAGTGGTCCTTGGTCTGAAAAAGTTTGAGAAACACTGATCCAAACCATCAACTTGTATCTTAGACCCAATCCCAGTACAGCTGATAAATATCCCCCATCCCCATAAGTGAATGCGTTTTAGTCTGAAAGCTGTTTGGCATCACAACGCTGTTATGAACGTTTCTCTGGCATTCTACAGGTGATGTTAGCTAATCGGACTATCTTGACTACTTGTTGCTATCATATTGTGGCATAAGCCGTTTTCTACACGCATATTTTACCGGCGTAGTTTTCTTTATGATTTTACTTGTGATGGCCACATGTAGCCCATGTATTGATTCCATCCGATAGTTGCAATAATACAAAACAACAGGAAAACGTCTGCCTCTTCACAATGGTCAATAACAGTGAACGGATGGTTATTAAAGTAAGTTCAAATAAACAGAATCACACTAAGCTGGTTAGTGTTGCCTGACTTTATATAAGTGTTTTTTATACGTGTGTGGTCGCGTTCTAGTCACTTTGCTCAGCGCTACTGTTTGTTACAACTTGTATTCGCCATACTCGCCATGAACTGTTATCGCTCAGGTTAATCTCGACCCCCTCCAATGTAAGCGTGACGTGTTTGGTTTTTTGATCTTGCCGGGTTGCCGAGTGGGGCCAGAGAATAGACCAGACTCCAGCAAAGGTCAATGTGTCTAGAGTGCGCCATCTAGTGGGATCAACTGAAATGGCGGGCCGGATTAAAAATCCCAACGTGCCGTATATGGCCCACGGACCTTAGTTTGCCCATGCCTGCTATAAAGGAACGGGCACAGCACGGTCACAACCAATTCCTGGGATTATAGTGAGGCCGACACGTGAAAACTCGCTACAAGAATTACTAGAGAGTTGCTGCAGCTTCAAAAACAATGAAAATATAAAACCACAAATGTGCCAAAACACAAAAGAAGAAACATCCCCTGATGGAAACGTTTAGGTTGTTGAGAGTTTGCACCTGTCGTCCACCGTTGTCACAAAATCTTAATGATTTGTAGTGAAACCGACCTTAAACTAAACGTGTTTGCAGCTCTAATGCACTAAAGTCTGAAAGAGTTTCCACGTCTGAAAGTAGCTCGAGAGGTTTAGTTATTACAGCCTGTGTTCTCCTCCTCCTGAAGCCTCGGGCAGTAATTCCCTTTATGTAAAATGTGAATTGGCAGTAATTTCATTTTCCTGCAGACAGTCGTCACATTTGACTCTGAGCAGCGTTTGTTTCTCATCTCATTTCCACTGCAAAGGTCACAGTACTTGGTGTTTGAATAGGTACATAAATGTGGATACTGTTTACGTCTTTCCAGCAGCCAGAGTTGATATCATTTCAGACGCTTAAGATGTAGGTAAAACCAACTCTGTGGTTCAAACAGGTCGTCAATCGTTGCTAAGAAACAGGAGCCAACAGCAGAGAGCAGAGTGGTAACACAGTTAGCCGGTGATTCACTTAGTGACGTGTGTGTGTGTGTGTGTGTGTGTGTGTGTGTGTGTGTGTGTGTGTGTGTGTGTGTGTGTGTGTGTGTGTGTGTGTGTGTGTGTGTGTGTGTGTGTGTGCGCGCGCGCAGTGGAGACGTTACAGGGGCTGGTGAACGGCAGCCTGGGGGGGGCGATGGCCAGCGTGCAGGAGGGCGGAGGCTCTGGAGGATCTGTGAGTTTACCTCGACGAGCGGAGACTTTCGGAGGCTTCGACAGCCACCAGATGCACGGCAGCAAGAGTGAGTCTGCAGCTGAACAATGTCTCCTCTACATCAACATGTGTCCCCTCTTCTTCATGTCTCTTCTACATCAACATGTGTCCCCTCTTCTTCATGTCTCTTCTACATCAACATGTGTCCCCTCTTCTTCATGTCTCTTCTACATCAACATGTGTCACAGACAGAGAATCAGCACTTTGGAAACAGGGCTGAAACAGAGGGGATTATGGGTAATGCTGCTGCAATGATCTGTTTGGTGTTTCAGCCAATCAGAGACAGGCTCTGTAAATATCTGAGACCTGTGATATATTGATGATACACAGTATAATAGGCCAGGTATATAGTGCACATAGTTTGTATTTAACAACAAGGGGTGTCATAGTCTCTTTAAGCAGAGATTATCCTGCAGTGGTTACATGTGATGCCTTTAATATTCACACACACACACACACACACACACACACACACACACACACACACACACACACACACACACACACACACACACACACACACACACACACACACACACACACACATCAGCTCAATGTCTGCTAAGGTGCAGCGATTAGTTACGTCAGTTCGTCAAACTATGTGCAATATATACTTTATATACATCTTTAATAACTGTAATATATACCGGGCTGCTAAATCCTAAGAACTGCTACAGGACTTGATTTGTAGATTTGATTTGTTTTTGATCTGTATTTTTGAAAATTATGTAACTTTTTTTTAGCATATTATTTATTATATTATAACTTAGTACTTTTTTTAACGCATGTAAGATACGCAACACTAAGCTGTCTGTGGCTCCTTCCTGCTGTAACGCTGCAAATGTCCCCTCTGTGGGACTAATAAAGGTATTCTGATTCTGATACCTCTCACTAATTGGTTAATTGACTTCCTGGTTTTACACTTTAAATGTGTTCACTATAGATGTGATGAGTTAATATTGTGGAAAAAAAGTCTTTCAGCAAAAAGAAAAATCACAATTCGACTGAAGAAAAACAGTTTTTCAAAGAAAACCATGATGTTGGAATAGTTTGACTGTGTTAAATATAATCTGGCGTTTGACTTAAACTAATTAAGATATAGCTAACGGGTGAAGTGTGTTCCCCTCTCGGCCACAGTTGCCCTTTAACGATGTGCAGAACAGAAACTCCTCTCGACAGGACTCCCTTTCGCTCGACAGTTATTCAAATATATTTAACATGTTCCATACAGACATGAGCCTCATCTTTTCTCCTCTTGTTCCTCTCCCCATCAGGTGGAGACGGGGACGACAGCGAGGATTCGGCGGGGGATTTACGCCGGACGGAGTCTGACAGCGTTTTGAAGAAGGTCTGTTTCTCTGCAGCTGGTCACTCTCCTCTCTGAAGACACTGTGAACTGTCCTCCTCCATTAACTCCACCGTTAAGAACAGCCTCTCTCTCTCTCTCTCTGGATTCGCCTCTCGACTCCTCAAAGAGCTGCTAATGGCGACCAGCAGCTCTTTGAGGAGTCAGGGGTGGAGGGGAATGAATGGGCGGTGTTTAGGTGTAGCTCTGGATCACTACCTAACCATGTTGTGATTTATACGGCAGAATAAGACCGTTGAAGACACATCTGTATCGTACAACACATCACCTGATATATTTAAATACGCTAATCGCCATAACATGCTTTGTTTATGGTGATTTAAAATAAATTGACTCGCTAGAATAAAAAAGAAATGTGATGTTGGATGCTTTAGTGTGAAGAAACACATGGAATAAAAGCAACATAGCCCCAAATCTCAAAATAGACCCGATACTTTACTTCTGCCTGAAGCCTCTCTTCTTCAAATCAATGAACTATAAGACCGCTGTATTATTATATCTGTAATACATAATGAGACCCAGATGAAGTTAGATGATCACAGCACGCCCACATGTGCTGCTATAATCACATTCAGCCGTATGCATAATGCACACACACACACACACACACACACACACACACACACACACACACACACACACACACACACACACACACACACACACACAATGAGACACACTAACAGATGTGTGTGTGCATTACTGCTTCCTGCTGTACAGTCGGTGTGTGTGTGTGTGTGTGTGTGTGTGTGTGTGTGTGTGTGTGTGTGTGTGTGTGTGTGTGTGTGTGTGTGTGTGTGTGTGTGTGTGTGTGTGTGCGTGTGCATTACTGTTTCCTGCTGTACAGTCCTGTGTGTGTGTGTGTGTGTGTGTGTGTGTGTGTGTGTGCATTACTGTTTCCTGCTGTACAGTCCTAAGTGTGTGTGTGTGTGTGTGCAGGGAGGAAACGCCAACCTGCTGCTGCTGCTGAAGAAGAACAGTGAGGTAACACACACTTCCTGTCTCTAACTCGATAACAGCTGATGTTCACATGGAGACTCTTTCTGTCACATTGATCTGCTTTCATTCATGTGCAGGCCGCAGCTGAAGCACTCATTATACATATTGGTTTTAAATATAAGTGGCATTATTCTAAACAAGTAATCATAAAAAACAGGTATTAATTGAGTAGGAGAGATAGAAATGGACATCCTACGACTCAATATAAGCTACAATCTTGCATGTGGTTAAATAATCCTCTACTAACAAGACATTATACACATTCTTTATAATAAATATCCAATAAAGAGACAACCCAAATAAGTTTTAAATCCAGCCCAAAATCTGAATAAACAGGTATTTTTGATTTTATTTTTAATTAAACTCTTGTGAAATCTATATGTTTGTGCAATAGAGTCTGAAGGGAACACTTGCCTGGAAGAAAAATAAAAAAAATATTGCAATAAAATATTAAAAATTAAAATTTTATTAAAAAACCTACTTTAGGCCGAATGTGGTCAAACCTTCTGTTTTGTATTCTAAGAACGTATTTGATTTTATTGTATTTATTTATTTCTTCTATTTGACATTTTACTTTGACAAAATCTAATCTTTCTATGACATTTTTTAATTAATCATTTATTAATTTAATTCTAAAATGGAGCACATCTTACAAAACCCAATTTCTGACTCTGATTGCTGAGTCATTAAAGCTAAATAGGCCAAAATAATATTTATTAAACCCGATTTAACAAAAAGTGCCATGTGTTTTCTGATTAAAACATGCTGTTTCTGTACATTTTAATTATAAATCCTACCCTTTTTGCCACACAGGACGCCATGCTGTCTTTACACTTGCTGCAGCAACACTTTCTGCATATTCCCAGAGTTATAAATGGTGTGTCTGCGGCTCCTGGTGAACATTAATTGGAGCCTTTTAGTCAGAGTAAACAGTGCTGGCAGCCGGACGCTCGCAGGCCTCGTCTCTTTGTCAGAGTCTGAATGCAGAAAAGGTCACATCACTTTAACTCATCAGGCTTTAATGCCGGCTTTGTCTGAGAGAGTCCACGCGTATGAATTCATATTACCAGAACTCACCGGCTGCGGCTTGTTAAAAGAAAAAGTTTAAAATGAAGCTCTCCTGCCGTCAGTGGAGTATTTTAACAAGCAGAGCCAAGAGCAGCTGTAAGGAGCATCAAACAAGTGTTCTCTACGCAACAGAGACACATACAAGAGACAGAGATACATGTTTTCATTTCATTTGATGATGTGATGTCTTTCCTCCAACAGTCGGTCCTGAACAGTGTCTCCAACCTGCATCTGCTGCTCAGCACTCTGCAGGTAACTACATTTAAAGAGGACGTATCAGTACGTAGTGTCTCCACTTTAAAGAGTCCTCTCCTGCTGATGTTCAGGTGTATATCAGTATGTAGTGTCTCTACTTTAAAGAGTCCTCTCCTGCTGATGTTCAGGTGTATGTCAGTATGTAGTGTCTCCACTTTAAAGAGTCCTCTCCTGCTGATGTTCAGGTGTATATCAGTATGTAGTGTCTCTACTTTAAAGAGTCCTCTCCTGCTGATGTTCAGGTGTATATCAGTATTTAGTGTCTCTACTTTAAAGAGTCCTCTCCTGCTGATGTTCAGGTGTATATCAGTATGTAGTGTCTCTACTTTAAAGAGTCCTCTCCTGCTGATGTTCAGGTGTATATCAGTATGTAGAAAATTCAAATTAGAGATGAACTAAAACTTGGTGTGTGTGTGTGTGTGTGTGTGTGTGTGTGTGTGTGTGTGTGTGTGTGTGTGTGTGTGTGTGTGTGTGTGTGTGTGTGTGTAGGCGGTGGTGGTGCAGCAGGACAGCTTCATGGAGGACCAGCGTTTGGCCCTCAGCTCTTCCTCCTCCTCCTCTTCGTCGCGGCCCCCCCCCCGGCCCGGAGGCTCTCTGATCGAGCAGGAGAAGCAGCGCAGTCTGGAGAAACAGAGACAGGAAGTGAGCGCTCTGCAGAGGCAGCAGAACGCCCACAGTGAGGAGAAGAGGAGGAGAGAGAGGGAGTGGGAGAGGAGGGAGGAGCAGCTGCTGGAGAGGGAGGGGCTTCTGCACGGACAGGTGACTCTACAGCACTGTGTCTATGCGTGTGTGATTCTGCACACCTAGCAGTCTACCTACCTATGCATCTAGTTACTTTGGAACCTACCATCATGTGGACATCACGTGGTTTCCGAAAGTAACCGAGTGTTAACCGTATAAACTACATGTTGCACACCTCAAAGATTAAGATAAATACAAATAAAAACAACAACATACTTGATCATTGGTACTTTGGTAGCGTTCCCTTTCAATAAATCCCTGCCTCCTCCCCCTGTCCCCCCCCCACTGCAGGAGGAGGAGGTGCAGCAGCAGGAGCAGCAGCTGCAGGAGGAGAGGAAGGGTCTTCAGAGCAGGAAGGAGGAGTACCAGAAAGACCTGGAGAGGCTGAGGGACTCCCAGAGGAAGCTGGAGAGAGACAGAGAGGCCGTGCAGAGGCAGATCCAGAAGATGGAGGAGGTCACAGTGTCGGAGGTGAGAGGAGACTCTGAACTGATCCAGGGTCAGGGCATTCTGACCTGTAGGCAGTCTGCAGGGAGCAGACACACTGGAACAAATGCTGCCCCAAAACAATAATGAAAACAAGGTGTTTTCAAGAAATCAGCCAGTGGACTAGTTCAAATATGCTTGCTAACATTTCTTGAATTAAGATGGGATATGTAGATACAGAGAGATTTTGTAAGTAGCTGGAAAAACTTATTTATGGACCATATTTGACCAGAATCAGGAAACGTTGTTACAAAATAAGCCAAAAAGGCTCAGGAGTTAGTGCAAAGGATCCAATATGAAACATGCCAACAGAGACAGACACATCTCTAAAGGATCACTCCTGCTCCATCACATGTAGAAACATTTAGACATGTACCAGTGGCGGCTGGTGTAAAATATTTCAGGTGGGGCTGTGGAAATGGTGACCAAACAATACTAGGGGGGTCCGGGGGGATGCTCTCCCGGAAAAAAAAAATTGAGAAAAGACCCCTTAAATGATGACTTCTGGTGATGTTAGAGGGGGGGGAGGACAAATTGAGGCTTAAAAATATGAGAAGACTGATCAATACCTCCATAATCTTCAGTGTGGTTAGCTATGAATCTGACATGATGTTTCGGCGGCATAGTTTAAAGATAGCAACAGTTGGCTTCTGCTGCACAGCGCCCAGACGAGAGAGGGGAATGATACACGGGCAAGGCCAGGCAGGAAACATGGGACTTATCAGTAACTTTAGACATCGTAACACAATTGAAACGAGATTTTATTGTAGATTATACATTTTACTGACACCAATTATATAATATTTACCTTGTTTATTAAAAAAAAAAAAAAAAATGTTTTAAATATATTTTTTTTAATTTTTTTTTTATTTGTAATGTGGGAAGAGGGGGGGCGGCGCCCCTAGCGCCCCTATGGGCCGGCCGCCATTGACATGCACCAAAAAGCACCGGTACAAACATTTACAATGAAGAAAATGAATAAATAAATGAGCATTGCTTCCGTAGCATGTGATGTGACTCGATAAAAACATAGTCTGCTGCTCCTGCAGGACGAGAGGCTCAATGAAACCTGGAGCCTCTTGATAGTGATATATTTATAATTACTTAGAATATACAAATACAAAAAGTATAGTAAATAATATAAAAAATATTGATGAGCAGTTAACACAATACAGATATACTCATACCATACGTATTTAAAAATAATAGGAAGAATATGTAAAACACATTTCCTGCATGTTCTCCACCAGATGTGGATAACAGCTGTGCCCCTCTCTCTCCTCCAGAGGACGCCCTCCACAGCGTCGGATGACTCCCAAACTCTGGAGCCGGACCCCCAGCCGGACCCTCCCCCCCGCTCCAGACCCAGAGGGAAGGGCCTGAACCCCTTCAGCTCGTCCAGCCTGAAGGGCAACGAGGCCAACAAGCAGAAGAGCCTCCTGACGCTCTGCAAGAACAAAGACAAGGACAAGAAGAAGAAGAAAGGCAAAGGGGGGGGTCCGCAGGCGGCAGGTAGAGAAACACACGGTTTATTATTCAGGAAATACACAAATATAACAAATACATTATGATCAGAGTGCAGGAAGAGGCAGACAACACACGAGGCTGTTTTGAACCTGTCTAGTATGAAGGCTTTATGGCAGCTTTTTAAATTCAGCAAAGATAAGATATTTATCATTTAGAAGTCCAGATGTAATGTCGGTGAGAAGTCCNGGGGGGGGTCCGCAGGCGGCAGGTAGAGAAACACAGGATCTGTTGTCCAGGAAATACACAAATATAACAAATACATTATGATCAGAGTGCAGGAAGAGGCAGACAACACACGAGGCTGTTTTGAACCTGTCTAGTATGAAGTATTATTGCAGGCTTTATGGCAGCTTTTTAAATGCAGCAAAGATAAGATATTTATCATTTAGAAGNGGGAAGGGCCTGAACCCCTTCAGCTCGTCCAGCCTGAAGGGCAACGAGGCCAACAAGCAGAAGAGCCTCCTGACGCTCTGCAAGAACAAAGACAAGGACAAGAAGAAGAAGAAAGGCAAAGGGGGGGGTCCGCAGGCGGCAGGTAGAGAAACACAGGATCTGTTGTCCAGGAAATACACAAATATAACAAATACATTATGATCAGAGTGCAGGAAGAGGCAGACAACACACGAGGCTGTTTGTAGTGGAGGATCTTATGTAGTAGATAACAACCTGTCTAGTATGAAGGCTTTATGGCAGCTTTTTAAATGCAGCAAAGATAAGATATTTATCATTTAGAAGTCCAGATGTAATGTCGGTGAGAAGTCCGTGCAAGTGATGCTACACATCCAAACATTTAGAGTCAAGCAGTTTAAATCAATACATTTACATTAAAAGCTATTTCATAAAAAAACAATTAATATCAAGGCAAAATCTGACTTAAAAATATGTTTTAAAGATATTCAAACGGAGGCTTTTTTAAGGATAAGCTACCAAGATTTTCTTTAAAGCAATTATTAGGCTAGAAATCTAAAATATGTTTACCTTTTCTTTGCCATCCTGACGTTGGTTTGGAGTCACTTTGTTTATTATGACTTTATGAAAATGGTTGCACCATGTACTTTTGTTTGAGTTGATGTATTTGAAAAATATTTCTCCGTGTCTGCCTGTATTTATAGAACAGCAGCACATAGAGAGGACAGTACATGCACTCTGCACCTTTAATATGAAACACATTGAATACACACACACACACATTGATACACACACACACACACATTGATACACACACATTGATACACACACATTGATACACACACACATTGATACACACACATTGATACACACACATTGAATACACACACATTGATACACACACATTGATACACACACATTGATACACACACACATTGGAACACACACATTGGAACACACACACACACACATTGGAACACACACATTGGAACACACACACACACACACACACATTGGAACACACACACACACACACACATTGGAACACACACATTGGAACACACACACACACACATTGGAACACACACATTGGAACACACACACACACACACACACACTGGAACACACACACACACACACACACACACACACACACACACACACACACACACTGGAACACACACACACACACACACACATTGGAACACACACACACACACATTGGAACACACACACTGAGGCTATTGTCAGTTATTCCTCTCGTGTGACGCTGACCCCTCTCTTCTCCTCCTGCAGACCCTCAGCACCTCCCCGAGCCTCCTCTGGACGGAGAGATCTTCTTCTGCTGAGAGACATTCTTCCTCTTCTTCCTCCTCCTCCTCTTCCCCTTCTTCATCATCATCCATCCCTTTCAGAAGAATGTGTTTCCGCAGAGTACAAACACAGGCATAATACTGCAGCTCCACCCGGCTTTACGGCACCTTCTAAATCCTCTTCAAAACATGTTTCCCCCTGATCATAACGTTCAAGAACAACAAGTGTTTTCTTGTGTTTAAAAATCCACTGCTTTTAGTTTCTGCAACACGTCACATACTGTGGGGATTTGTTATGGTGGGTTTCATTTATCCTTGGAACACATGAATTAAGCATCACAGAAAATCATTTTGGGTATTCTGCTCCACACAGATCCTTTGCACTTTGCACACACACCAATTTCAACACACACACCAATTTCAACACACACACCAACAGGCTGTTCATTTACAGAGTGTTATCCAATGTGACTGAGCGCTGCCACAGACGTCACCAAACACCGCTTGGATGGATATACGATTCCCAACAAGCTAGGGAAATGCTTCTAGTCCTCCCTTATTGACAATGAATAGAAGAAACCACAGAAGAAGAAGGTCTGCCTGGCAACATGTCTACTCACCATTTAAAGCAGACTTGACTAATTCTGCCTCCAGTTAGTGAGACAAATGCAGTTTGAATACCTCCAGTAGTCCTCTATTAAGATTTCATAGCATCGATTTTTCTATTCCTTTGAATAATAGATATCTTCAGATGTGTCTCTTTCTGCAGACGTCCAGTAATGAGGGGATTGAGACATATCTCCCAGCATCTAATGGCTCGACTCATATCCTTCAGCGTGCTTCAGAGGACACGAGCCTGATCCTCTGCGTTATCTTCCTCCAATGGGCTTTTATGTCGATGACGAGCGGGGCTTCCCTTCATGTTTTAATTGCATGTATCTGTGCAGGTAGCATACCGATGGCTCCTGTCTGCTCGCCTCACCCTCACTTCTCAGAACAGAATGTGGACACGTTTTAAAAGGCTGTTTATTCAACGACAAAGCAGAGAGAACCAGAAGCTAAAAACACCAAATGATGCTGCTACGTGGTCAAAACATTTCAAAAGAATCAACACTCAAGATGTTGTGAAGCACTTTGGTCCCAATATGTTTATTTGATTTGCTATCAGCGATCAATCGTCTTTGTATTCTGATTTTTCCGGGTCCTTTTGTTAACGTTGAAATTAAAGTAAAGACCAGTAGCAAGTTTGAGGCAAAGTTTCCGATAGACCTGTCTTAATTCTTAAGCTTGATTTAAGCCCAGATTCAGCACTGCCTGCTGGACAGGTAGGAAGTTAAATTAAAGGTCCTTTCCCCGTGAGTCACAAAGCAGCGCCACGACTCCTGCCGCCTCGTCTGTCTCGTGTTTTAACGGCTTGATTCTTAACTCGCCCTCTTTGTTGAGGATTTGACTTCATGTCCGCGCTGGTTTATTACAGTGTGTCTTCTTAAGAGGCTCCAAGGGCCGGCCAATTAGCTGCTCCGTGGCTTTGGTTTATGGCTTCGGTGTAATCCTGTCCTAGAAACAGAGGAATGGGCTCCTTTTGTTGGGGTGCTTCGTACGGTGGCCGAGAAGTGCGTTGCAACGAAACAAACATTTTACATTTTCAGAAACGAAACATCTTCGGCAACTTCAGTTTGGTTTCTGCAGCTTTTAGTAAACGCTGCGTATGTTTCCTCAAGTTGCTGAATGTTTTCTAAATGCTGCATGTGTTGTCAAGTTGCTGAAGATGTTTTGTTAATGTGTTTTTATATCTGGATCCTTTCTGAAGCTGCAGCACGTTTCTCCTAAGGGGAAATGTTTGCACCTTTCGGACACCGTAGTTTTGACCACTAGGAAGCACCGCACCTATGACTAAATCAAACAACTAGAAAGCATGAAAGTATTTTGTTATTTTTTTGACATTTCCCCCCTGCTGTGAGAACATGTTTCTCAGCAGGTCATCGACACACGGAGATAATGAGACGAGCGGTGGCTTTTCCCCACAGCGTCTGTAAGCGACTGGCTGAACAAATAAGTTGTCAGAGATTGTAATTGGTTATTCAGTGAATCCAGTCATCAGCAGCTTTAATGTGGGGAAAGGAAAGCCACAGGACAATCAGACGACCCCCCCCCCCACCTCCCTGCGTAGCCTTAAATCTTGACGATAAAATGAAATGCACTAGCGAGAGGAGAGCTTTTATACCTCTTGCTTTGAGACGACGAAGGAAATGTTCGTACTGTAAAAGTGGTACACGATGGTTTCATTCCCAACAAATGTAAAAAAAAAAAAGAAGGGCAGATGTGTAAATATGATTTATGTATAAAACAAATCAAATGTAAAAAAAAAAGGTTTCATTTGTGATCTATCGCAACATTTTGTAAGAATGTTTTATTTATGTTTTATTCTCGCCCTTAATGGTTGGGTGATGTAAAGTCATATTGCTCTGGTAATAAAAAAAAATCATAATGGACATTTTGAGTGTTTGTTTGCTGTTAATTGCTCCACTTTTCGTCTGGAACTAATCGCTTTGATCGCTGTCATTTTGAGTCGTGACATTTATATTTGATCTAAACTCATCTGTTAAAGAGTCCTCTCCTGCTGATGTTCAGGTGTATATCAGTATGTAGTGTCTCTACTTTAAAGAGTCCTCTCCTGCTGATGTTCAGGTGTATATCAGTATGTAGTGTCTCTACTTTAAAGAGTCCTCTCCTGCTGATGTTCAGGTGTATATCAGTATGTAGTGTCTCTACTTTAAAGAGTCCTCTCCTGCTGATGTTCAGGTGTATATCAGTATGTAGTGTCTCTACTTTAAAGAGTCCTCTCCTGCTGATGTTCAGGTGTATATCAGTATGTAGTGTCTCTACTTTAAAGAGTCCTCTCCTGCTGATGTTCAGGTGTATATCAGTATGTAGTGTCTCTACTTTAAAGAGTCCTCTCCTGCTGATGTTCAGGTGTATATCAGTATGTAGCATCTCTACTTTAAAGAGTCCTCTCCTG